CAAGTAAAACAAAATTAAGCTCTGAGCAATATAAACATTTGAAACTAAGTTCCTTAGTTGGGAGACAGGTATATAATTCTTTGTAGGGACTTTCTAGCAAAAGGAGAAGCCTTTATGGAAAATATTTTTTCATACTCTGTGGTAGGACTTTTTGGATACAAGTGACAGATATCCCAACTGGAATTGAATGTCAGAAAAAAGGAAATTTATGGGTGAATATATCAGTTACCTGTTGCCCAGTAATGTTGCAAAACAGACAACCACAAAACATCAGTGACTACTAAGAAGTGTGTTTAGTTCAGGAGCGTATGGAGTTCAGCGGCCCTCAGCTGGATTTGCTCATGCGTCTGCGGTCAGCTGCTGGTTGGCTTGGCACCTCTGCTGATGTTAGCTGGGCTTGCTCAGAGGTCCTGGGGTTGGCTATTGGCTAGGACACCCTGACTCTGTTTTACGTTCTTATTTTCCAGCAGGCTAGACTGGGCATGTTCTAATTCCTACGGCAGAAGAAAATGAGCAGAAGAGTAAATACACGGGTGCTATTCCTGGCCTCCGCTTGCTTCACATTTGTTATCTCCTTATTGGCCAAATAAGTCCCATAACAGAACCCAGGGTCAGATTGTGAGGACACTGCCAAGGAGCAGAGACAGGAAGGGGTAAAGGATTGGGGCCATTAATGCAGTCATTCTACTTGGCATATGTACCTAAAATGGCCTAGGGATAGATGTAGCTTCAGTGACTGCTGGATCCAGGGTATCAAGTGATGGCACCTAGTTTGATTTCATACTGTTAAAAGTTTGGCTCTGGTTTCTTTTGCATTAGCTTCATTCTCAGGGAGGCCCTTTTTATATGGTAGTACTCAGAAGCTCCATCTTGAAAGCAAGTAATTCCAGCTGAAAAAGAGCTTATCTTTCCTAGTTGTTTCATCTAAAGTCATGATACGGAGTTTTGTGGACTGCTATGGGTCACATGTCCATCCTAAACCAGCTGCCTTGTTTGGGAGGTGGACTATGACCACTGGCCAGGCCTGGGTTATATTCTCACCCCCAACACCATCCAGGATGGAGTAGAAGGAATCAGCCTTACCTAACCTAATGGCTGTGAGTAGAGGGTTGGGTACAATTTCTCGAAGGAAAATATTGATAGTTATTAGAAACTGTGTGTGTGTGGGGTGGTGGTGGTGGTGGTGGTGGTAGTGGTGGAAATAAATGATAGGTAAAAATAAAAGGTGCTCAGTATAATGCTATTAATGTACTTATTGACATTACCAACAAAAATTATTGCTAGGCACCAAACTAGGTGTTTTATAAACATCATCTTTTTCCTTAGGATAATATGAGTTAGGTGGTATTACCCACATTTTATTGATTGGAGGAGGGAAGCTCATAACAGTTAAATAGTTTGCCTAAAGTCACTCAGCTAGTGAGTTATTAGAGTGGAGAGTTGAACCTCAGTTTGGCCCTTTCCAGAATCTGTGCTCTTACTATCTTATAGCTGAAGAAAAAGAGAGTACACCAAACACACCCTAAGAGGAAGAGCAGGAGGCCATGATGTGCCCCATTTGGATACTATCATTGATAGGATAATCACAGTTCTGTAGCCCTGGCTGCATGAAATCTGTATCAATGTACTTTTGTAATCATGACAGGGAACTTCTACTACTTTTCTCTACGGGTTATGAGAGCAGGGACTCTAACTTGGTGCACTGCTGTCCTGTGGGTTTTCTGTACACGTGTGGAGTGGTTAATATGAATTATTTAGGTGAGCAGAAATGGAGAAGAGGTCCCAAAATGCCAGCTTGAAAGATGTACATGAAAGGGAAAAGAGACAGGATTGTCATCTTCTCTGATGATGGCATTTAGTATCCGGCTACATGTAGGGAGTCTCATTGGTTGAGCCACTTCTTTTTCTTTTAGCTCCAAGATGGCCAATCCATTCTAACTCATGTGTCAATGACAGTTGATTGATGGTAAACCATCTAGAGTGCTGTGTTGAGAAGAGTTCTGAACCTACTGGAAAAGATGACTGTGATGGATTAGTGATGTCTGTGATGGATTAGTGATGTCTGTAGTGGGTACAGGAGTGGGAGGTAACATGATTGACTATTATTTGACATCTTAGGAAGCAACAGCTTCTCAGAGTTACTGTCAAGCCACTTGTGTATGGGGGTGATGCCCCCAGGATGGAGTATTTTATAACTAAGGTCTCTGTGATGAGGAATCCTAGGGTAAATTTTCTGGAGTTTCCAACTGTCACTTAACACAACCCAAAATGCAGAGCTTCATTTTCCTAAGGAAAAAGGAATGTCTTTTTGCTCTGAGAAATTTTGACCTTGCTTGGGAGCAGGGTGGGGGGAATTTACAAAATGTTTAGATGTAGTAAGTAAAGTTTTGGGGTCACTTTTTAAAAAAAAATAAACATGGGTCTATCTATCATCTATCTATCATCTATCCATATCTATCTATCTATCTGTCTATCTATCTATCTATCTATCTATCTATCTATCTATCTATCTATCTATCTATCTATCTATCTATC